CTACGTACATACAATACCGAAGGGTTGTCCACGTGATTCAAATGATGTAGAATCACGAGTGAATCATTTTTTAATCATATATGAAAATTTAATAATTAAATTTTAAGATTATTCTGTGGTGAAGTGTCAGCTATTAGAAACCCAACTGTTTTTTATTATTATTTATTAATACATTGTGTATAAACAAGTTACGTATGGGTGTGCACTCATCTTCCGCTCTAATGAAATTGGATACAATCCGACACAAATTTTCGATACGCATCTCTCGTTTCAAAAGCTCGAAGCGCGAGTGCACACGTGCCATTCCCTTTGAGCGCCCAACTCAGTTTTTAAAACGATTTTCAGAGTCAACGCGTTCATCATACACATACAGGTATTGTCATCATGACGCGTGAACTGCAGAGACGGAGAACCTTTTCGTCCCCCCCCCCCGGCTCGTCCTTCGTTTGATAAAGTATAAAAGGTCGCTTTGACATTGTCGTACAGATGTTTGGGATACTTTGGGGAAATTAAAAAGCCAATTCAGGTGCCCTCGACGCTCAATGCTCCCCTGTACACCTATACCGGCGGAGTTATGCTTTGAAGACGACTGGGGAGAGTCAAGTGGCGCGACGCGGAGGTATTTTCCGGAAAACTCGTGTAAAAGGCTTTTCTTGTTTTTTCTCCTCTGCCGCACATATTATATACACGCGCGCGCTCGGGTCTCGGAAATCACGTTTAATTTTTTTTTTTTTTTTTTTCCGGGAAAACAACAAAAGATTTTTCGAACGCAACACTCGAGACGAGCAACATTTGGAATCCCTATTTTTAAAATATGGGCGGAGGGTAGTTGTGTGCAATGCGTGCAAAACTGCTGGCGCTGGGCTGAGCGAAAGCGCACGCACCGTGTAAATACAAAATCGGCGCCGGTGAGGATAAACTCCTCTTACACGATAGAGCACATATGCAGATTATTCGCGTATTATACACGAGTCACTGGCTGGTCGTGTATAGTCATTCGCGTTGCTCGCCGAGCGGATAAAATTACTTGCGCACGGAGCAACGTAATCGTCTCGGCGGAAATATATAACTGTATCTCTCAGGGTTCCACCGGAGCAAGAGAGACTCGCATTGTTATACGTGTACCCCCTCCATCCTATACGATAACTCGTTGGATATCGCGAAGGTGGAGTTGCTATACATGTATACTCTTGTATCCATGCATGTAATGGGAAGTGGATGTTGCAGCGAAAAAACAACATAACGAGGCTGCGTTTTTCTCTCTTCTCCTCATTTTTCCCGTTCGCTCTTCTTCTGTTGTTCCTTTTTTTTTTTTTTTTTTTTTTTTTTTTTAAAATAATATATTTTATTTTTTTTTTTTTTTTTTTTTTTTTTTTTTTTTTAAATATATACATATATCATTTTTTCCATACTGTTTTTCCTGTATGGAAATCGATGGGACTTACTTGTTTGTGGGTGTACTCTCACGTACTGCTCGCTCCGGAACGGATCGATTTGTCCAATTAGGACACTTGGGGAAGGAAAGTTGTGATTGGTATGTGAACATTTTGTGTGTGTGTGTGTATGTGTGTGTATGTAATACTATTTGTTATTTTCGGCATCGACTCACCTGAAACAGACAAGAGAGAAAACGGCATCGTTAGCATTTCATAATAACAATACCAATAATAATGTTAATTTATCTGTTTTTCAACAATAAGTTACATTTGTAGGTATAATTTTTTGTTTTTCAGAGCGACGCTTTTATTTAGCACGCATCACCGAGAGATGGCAAGTGTGGAGTATTTAGGTGACGGCAACGCCCATCATCCGATCTCGCGTAATCGTTTCTCGGCGCACACGCGCATTCTTCTTCGTTTCCGGCATCGACAATAAAAAACGAAGCATCACCGAAACTCGGCTCCCCCGGAATTTTTACAACGGCACACGCAGCACACCATCAATTACAGTCCTAATTCGGGGCTCGTACACCGCGCGCTGCAGCGACACGGATACTCTCCCGTACAAGCACACATATAATATATGTATGTATATATTATGTAGGTGGTAGCCCATACATACACGTCGGTTGGGTTGTTACTGTCACGGCGACTACTCCCATTTCCCGCTTTCAATAAAATCCACCCTCGACGCCCAACAAAAGAAGGAGGACGGGGTCTACATGCTGTCGGATACACGGTGTTGGCACGAATAGCAACGTATCACATACCAAGAGATGGAGAGAGAGAGAGAGAGAGTTAATGTCACTCTGCAGGGTTATACATTTCAGCTTTTACTTCCTTCGATTTCCGCCCGCAAGTACACACACAGACGGGCATTTAGCGGAGAAGGGAGAGGGAGAACTACAACAGATAGGACTTGTTGCGCCAGAGAAGAGCCTTGGCGTATGATCAACTTTATATAGATACAGTAGCACAGTGTGCCGGTAGACGCATATATGTATAAAACGACAATTGAACGAAAACCCAAAAAAAAGGAGAAAGGGCACACGTGTTTATATGACATATGTGTAGTCGGACCTGTTGCATGACGGGCGGTGACAAATAGTTTTTTCTTTCTCTCTCTTTCACGAATTCGCTGTTTCCTCTTATTGTACATTATTTTTTTCGCGGATTTTGAAAAAATCTCGCAACAGGAGAACAAAAAACAGTCCAATTTATCCAGACCATTTATAATTTAGCTGCGCGGTCTATACAACATTTTACGACATTTTATACGTGTATACACACACCCGAGGAGTACGTGAGGACGGCCGTAAAGTAGAGGAGGAACGAAACAACAGTGAAAGACGCGCTCGATGGATTTGCGCTCGCGAAACGGTATGTGTACGTGGTGCAGGGGTGTTATTTCCCGGGGAGCAGAGGGGACGAGAGAGAGAGAGAAAGTGCCCTGGGGAAATAAATTAAGAAAAACCGAGAGGGAAAAGGAGTGCAACTGCGGACAAAAGCGCGCGGTTACGTAACGACATACCTTTATGCATACCACTACAGTGCGGGTGTATGCGTGTCGAGCCGAACGTCGCCAAGGGGGTGGAGAAAAAATAAAAGGGGGAGTTCATCGGGACTCTCCTCTTGTTTCGACTCTGCCGAGTATGTGCGCGTAAGCTTTTAAAAGGAAGTCAAGTATCAGAGTTTACCTTTCGCTTTTTTTTTTTTTTTTTTTTTTTTTTTTTCTATACTTTTAACTACTTTTCGTAACGGACCGTGAGCACAGACTCCGATGGTGTCGGATTGCCAATGGTGGTTGGGCGAGGGAAGCTGAAACATTTTCGGAAAAAACAGATGCATCGGTGCCCATCAACATAATCATCGCAATGGGTCAGGCTTTTGTTAATTAACCACAGAGTTGCTCGACGCAGCATTACNTTTTAATACATCCATTGTGTACGTGTATGGGTATACGCGAGAGACGGCTGCTCTCCTGAGCCTCGCGCGTTTTTTGCTACACTTTACACCTCCCGTGCTCTTTTCGCGTTTGCCATTTCGCTGGCTTGGAAAAAAAAAGGAGTTTTTACTGATGCGTTGCACACATAAGTGCGGGCAAAGTGTGGGTGTTTCGAGTTACCTTATCCCTCTCTGGCGCGAGCGGATGGGGTGGCTTTTGTTCTTCCGCGAGCTTTTCTCTCGGAAGTTATGAACTGATTTCGCACGTTTTACACAACAGATTTTCGTTTTCTCACCCTTAAAGTTACGATTTGCGATCACTGTTGCTTTTTTTTGTTGGTATTTTAATTTTTGTATAAATTCGACTCCATGAAATTTCTGGGCACAGCAAACTTTTCGTGTGTGTACTCGCCAAACGCTGTACCAACGTGAGCCACGGGCCCTTGGTTTCAATAAATGAATTCAATTTCCAAAGTTAAAACTTGGGACGAGTACTTCTCCGAATAGGGAGGGAAAATCTCCAGCCATCTAATATTATGAATTTACGGGTATTTGACTGATGACTGGCGTGTTTCTCTTACAAAACTCGCAGAGCCCTTTCGGTATGAATATTGTACATACGAGTGTATGGGTACATGCGAGGTAGTGCTCCTCTACGTGGCTGCTATATATGCTACGTCGACGATGACATCCATAAAATACACGCGACGCAAACATTGACTTTGTCAAAAACTATCTCGTAGCTCTTGTACACGTATATACGCCAGACACACCTACGCACGGCAGCGAGAAACTTCCAAGAGTGCGAAAATACATGCATATCCCTGGCCCCGAAAACATATAATCTCGCGCACAGCCGCCGAGAGATGGATAGGATGTATGGCTGCTCTCTTCCTCTCGTGAAAGGACGGAAACTTCCCCCCCCCCGGGGGATTTCATCTTCTATAGCCTCGATTTGCGTCGGTTTACCCTTCCCTTAAAATTCGAGCCATTCAATTAAGCGCGTGTAGAAATGTGTCGTTGGCTTCACTTAGGCTATGTTATTTCGTTGAATTTGATTACTTTAACTAATTTTTGGCATATGGAGCCAAATTTAATAAATATTGTTACTAAAAGATTCAACGACTAAACGGTTTTTTTGTTTACTGTCCGGTACTCTCACAATCGATATACAAAAGGCAAAAATAATAGCGGGGACATACAAGTGTACGCGCTCACGGTCTCGGTGAAAAAAGAACGGACGGTAGAACCCTTTTCTGTATATATTATACACTCAATTGTCTCGAACTACATACTCTATTATTATCGAGCATTGCATCTATAAATATATAGGTACTTCTTGCACGCAATGTCGACGTGTCCCCCGATGTACGTGTTTTATCGACAGTTCGTTATACACATCATTGAAATGTTATCGGCAAAACAAACTCGTGAATCGCGACGACTTGCCGATACTCAAAACCGCGACATTCCGTACTTCGCAGCTCGCGATGGCATATGTATACACCCGCGTGCTAAACAATGGCTGGAGTCGATCATTCGATATCGCGTATACCGATGACTTAAAAAAACCTCCAATCAGGACATAAATATAGACAGTGCCCAAGTGGATCTCACCTGTGCATAGTTCGGCAATCTGCAGGCACGAGCTACAGTGTGGACTGGAGGCACGGGCAATCGAGCGCGAATATTAACGGGGCGCGCGTGACGACGAGCAGCCATCGTCATCGGCGACGACTTCACCACGTTCATCGTATCCCCCGGCTGCTCAACGTTCCACCGCGCAAAGGTAATTTACGCATGGCACGTAACTATACACAGAGGCGCGCCCGGTTGGCTCGCCCAGTCGTAAGGGACTGACTCTCATAATTCAGGGCTTATTGAACACAAAAGGTACGTATATACGTGTAAGGGTGTACATATATATAGAGGGGTACAAATCCACCGGCGCCCCGTTACCATAGGAACACGACGGCCCAACAGCGGCACACGCGATCGGAAGCCACTCGCGGGAGAATAACTCGCGCCGGGTGTTACGTGAATAGGCGCGTCGTCTATGTATATTGTATAAGCGAGTACTACGCTAGAGACTTAGACTGGATAAATGTATGTAATAATGCCTATATATATATATATCTTTGGTTGGGAGGTATACGCATGAGAGAACTGACTGATGCACACGTCTATTTTCTTTATTATTTCTTGGTCATTAATTTCGAGACATGATATGAGGTATTGTACAGGAATGGAAAACAGAAGTTTGGCTGTGACGCATGTATAACGATTGATCGATATAATACCGTGGCGAGATATAGGTACACGTGTATGTTTGTTTGCATTGACCTATAGCATCGGCTTTGATTCGATGGTAAAAATTAAGAGACGGTGGTTGTGTAGCGATCGCGCGGGTGCGAGCGGACTAAAGTTTTTCAAGGCCGCGCTCCTTCGATGGATGTTATTGTGATTGATGAAGCTACACATAATATTACGTAGCACCACCGTGATATTTTCATCGCGCCGCGACTTGTACTTTCGATCGATGAGTTGTTTATACATATATATACATACATACATACATTTTACTTAGCAGTGAAATTGAATGTTGACGGTTTATTTTCATCGCTCGCTACTACATAGATACGACCTTGACAATACAGATATACATGTATCGATTGGACCTTTACTTAGACGTTGGCTTCTCTCATTTGGTTTTGCGCGTAAAACTGCACACTTTGCGAGACGATTTAGAATTAATAATGAAATAGTCGGGAAAAAAACTGATAAAACATTTTTCAATTGTACTGCGAATCACAACGAAATTTCAGTTTTGAGTGCATCATCAGACGAGACGGGAGTTAAAGAAATGGTGTAGAGAAGAGTCGTCGCTGATGTCGAGCACATTGCCCCCGTAACTCCATGCACCCTTGGCAACGGTATATAATATATAATATTATGTATTAAAGTACTGCAGAAAGAGGGATGCGACCCAAGCTATACACATACATTACATAACATACGAGTTCATAAGTATATATTATATGTATACCTATACCGCGGTATGACGAGTGCATGGGGATGCGTATATTTATATGTGTAGAGGGACAAACACGTGTGTTATAGACTCGCACACACCTGCTGCCCACGATACATGGCATCAGCGTTTGTATACAGTAGAAAAAAGACGCGCTAATATCTGGACGTTGTGTGCGTATGATATACATACACACCATATATACGTATACAGACATGATGTATATTCGTGTTTGTACGAAGAGAAGTAAGTATAAGTTTTCCAGACGGGGTCAGAGTTTGCTACAACGTCTGTTGCACCTCCTCTTAGATACAATATCTACCTATATAATACCACTCTACAGGTATATAAATACACTATCACGGGATAGGGGTAGATAATAGGATTCGAAGAGTCAATGGGCGTTCGACGAGCTATACACCGATGCATGGAACTTGGTGTACATCTCTCTCGAGGGCGTATGCACTGTATATGTGTTACCCGTACAATAGCAGCGTAACTACGGTATATATTATTATGGCTTCTCTCTCGCCTTCCCTCTCCCCTTACCCGAAGCAATGCGCACATTGTTGTTTTTATTGTTATTTTTCAAATAAACAGATCGATCGGCGCAAGTGTACGTATTCTCATTTTCGCGCCCGAAAGCTTTTAAAGCTCCACAGTCTCCTATACAGCCAATGTGCCGATTTTTTTGTAAATGCCATGGTACATTATATTTTGTAAAACATGAATCAAAAGTTAATGACCATACAATCGAGATACGATTTCGGAACTATTCATTTTCATTCCTGTATTACCACTGTACACGAGTGTACATATATATAGAGACCCTGTGCAAGTCGTGAAATCGCCCGAGAATAACACAGAGTTAAGTTACGCGCGGAGGGGCACACTGGCCCCTTGGAAAATTCATTGAACCGATGATAATAAATACAGTAGGTATATATGCCGCTCTCGTGGCACGTATACAACACGACATTTGCACTCGATCCTCGGGGTAATTAAAACAAAAAGTCGTGACAATTATGATTCGTCGTCAAGTATATAGCTGCAGCGCCAGTACGGAAAAAGACGTCTACGTTCCGCACGTCCGTCTCATCGTGTTGTGTATATACCCATACGTGAGTATATATATTATAGAAGGTACAGTACTTCTTGCTCACGTGTACAACGTGTGCGTGTACACACAGGGAAGAGGGAAGGTTGCACAATAAAAAGAGGAGGAGGAGACGACGCATTGCCGACTGCAGTCGCGGCTTGTACAACGATGATACCGAAATCGCGTGATCGGAGCCGCTAATTGCCCCCCTCGCGGACCCACTCCATCGCGTGTTTGATGCAGCGAGCGGGTCCTGTATGTGTACGTATGCGTGTAAAGTACACAGGCTCGCCTTTCGCTCGCGAGGGACACAAGAAACATATATATATAGTATATATCCTTCGGCGTGTGCTCCTTCTTCTTTTTGCGCGTAATATTATGAATTCCTTTACCCCCCCCCCCGCCCCTCTTCGCGATGGGATGATGTTTCATTAAGATCCGAGGCGTTTACACACACGCACGCGCACCCATACGCCTTCTTTACACACTTTTGATCGGCCAAATGAGAGTACATTAAATTTCATGTTGGTTTCACTTGTTTCTTCTTCCCGGTGCCCCTCGCGGTCGTCCGATGCGTTTTTACGATGCCAGCAGTTCATTATTTTTCACGAGCCTTTTTTTTTTCTTTTTTTTTTTGTTCTGTTTTTTTAATGCACAGGTATGACTTGTAGCAGTAAAGCGCGATGCTAATTTTTTACCCCCCCCCCCCCAACTCTCTTTCCGTACCTTCGAAGAATTTCATCCCTCCCACCGCTCGATTTATACTTATGGGTATATGTTATTATGATGCAACAATCCTCTTTTCTTATCACAGTTCCTGCGATCTGTGACCGATGAACTATTGTCACGTTTCAACGGCACGACTATGCCTTGAACAACGACTACGCGGTGACAGACAACGAGGTTCAAATTTAGGTATGAGATACGACGAGAAGTCAAAGTAAAGCGCACTTCAGCCGAGTAAGCCTCTCTTTTCGTTGTATTTTAAGGCTGTAATGACGTCTTTCTTCGATATATCTTGCGATTTTCCCCCCAAAAAAAACAGGTTAGTCGACACTGACTCCAAACTTGTGTTTCAAGCAACGACGAAGGAAAAAAAAAAAGGCCGAGTAAAGAATGACAGGTTCCCAAGAGTCGCTGCACCAAAGTCAAAAAGCTCTCGCGCGCATGCATCAGGGGCGGGACGACATCAAGGCAGTGGCATTCGCCACGCACGACCGTAGGCATGTACCTATAAATGTAGGTAAGTATAATCAATATCCCTCGCGCTGACGAGGGGGAAAAAAAGAATCATCACGTTAAAGCAGGTGCTGGAATGTTTTTTTTTTTTTTTTTCTTTTTTACCACAACCGCGTCGCATGAGATAAATTATTTACGAGGGGCTAGAAAGGAAGACACACCCAATCCTCCGTATACTCTGTACAGCTAAAGGAAATGAGAACGAACTGCGACGTGGAAAAGAAGAAGAAAAAAAAACAAGAAATACACCCACAACGTGTGCACTACGCGTACACGCGCTCATCCCCTCTGGACTCGAATATATATATGGTAGCAGTGGAGGATCGATCCTTTTCCATTGTATACTTTTGTTCTCTCCCTTGGCTTTTGAATCAGGTATTTCCTTGTTCCCTTTCTTTTGCTCCGTGGGCCAGCGCCGTGCGCTGCACGAGGAGAAGAGACACAGCTTGCACTTTGCAAATTAAGCGGCACAAAAAAAAAAAGCGGGGGGAAATCGAGAGCGCGGGTCTCTCTGCAGTGACGCGTCCGACGTGGTATACTTATGTTCCTTCTGGAGGAGATATTATTATACACGGGAGCAATCAATTATCTGGTAAAGGCATCGGGATAATATATATACATGTATACATTTATATGTGTACAAAGTTTGCTCGTAAGCTGCTTTTTATCATTTCCATCGTGATCCATTAGGTGGGGGGGTAATCTCTCGATTCTCAGATTATATTTCCATTACGAGGAGGAGGAGGAGAAAAATCTGTTGATCGGATTGAAGATCGAAACGAGAAACAGAGGAGGAGAAAGGAGATTTCGCTAATCGAAAATCAGCTTTTCTCCCTATCGGATCTTGCATGTATATACATGTATCAGCGGCTTCGGGAGGGGCGGTGCTCACATACCCGCCCATTGTTCATCGATTAAGACCACACACACACACGCGCGTACGCGTACACGATATAATGCGCAAGGGCGTGGGCCAAGATCACACGCGCGGCAGCGTAATAACTTGTAAAAGCTAATGTCCCAATGGTACAGGCATACATATACCTCTCGCAAGTATGTCAAACACAGAAAAACTCGCTAAATGCGCAACAGGAGGAACGAAGGCTATATAGATGCCAGGGGCTTGGTCTTTTTCTCTTTTACTCTGGTTATTGAATTTCGATGACATATACGACCAGCAGTCACAATTTATGTATATTTTTTTTTTTTTTTATTGACAAAAGAAGGCATATTAGCCCTAAATTGAGAGGTTTTTGCGGGGATTTTGACAAGTACATTTTAAAGCTCTGTGGATTCATCGGGCTTTTTCATTGTTTCAAACGAGATTGTTGGCGCAAAAATGCCAAAAACATGAAACACGAAATAAAAAAAAAAACGAGGGTT